CCCCGCCCCTCCCCGGTCCAGAGTGGCTCCAACGCTTGTTGGTTCCGTCTCAGCGGCGGCAGCCCTTCTGACCGGTGGGGGGCGCTGTCCCCTCGGGGTTCCGACGTGCATCTCCGAGATAACAGTGCTGCTGCGCATCTTCTCATTCATCTGTCGGCCACTGCAGGCCTCCTTGGGAACAGCGCTTTTGTCCTCTGCCCGTCTTCTAGTCAGGTTTGGTTTTTCAGATGGGGCGATTGAAGTTAACGTTTCCTACAAGGCTCTCTCGCCGCAGACTGTTACTCGGGTTTAGGAAGTGTGTGTGCCCCACAAGTGGCATCTGCCACCTCCTTCCGGGACCAGCAGGCACAGCACTTCTGCCCCTGCCGCCTGGTGTCAGAACGGCCAAGCAGACACAGCACAGTCAGGGACCGGAGGGAACGGAGCTTTGCTCTCCCAGGGAAGGGACAGTGGGAGACCGGCCTCTGCAGCGAGTGTGGGTAATGGGGGCCAGCAGGTCCCTCCCGGAGCCGCCTCCTGTCCCACAGCAGACCCCATCCGTCCTCTCTCCGAGGGGCACGGGCCCTGGCCGGGTGCCACAGGACACTCTCACTGCAGCAGAACAAGAAGGTGCGCGCTGAGTCTGCAGCGGGGACCCTGGCTCTCAGCAGAGCTCCGGCACGAGCTGGGAAGGCTCTCTCCTCGGGAGGCGGCCCGGGCTGGGTCAACGCCTGCGCACAGGGGCCTGCCTTTCCCGACAGACCAGCTGCGTCACAGAGGCCAGAGACAGCGAGGTTACAGGGGTCAGGGGACTCGACGTGTTAGAAAATACACTCATCCCGAGAGTTTCTATCCATAGGGAGGCAGCTTACTGAGACACGCAAAATCTAGAATCCATGTTTGATTTAGTATCGATGGGTAATTGAGCAACTTTTAAACTGAAGTTCTCTGAACTTTTGTTCCCTCTTTTGTAGTGGGAGCTCAGGCTCCCAGCTTCCCAGCTGTAAAATGCTCGCTGAGATAACAGGTGAAACCCCTCCCTGGGACACCGATATTTAAATACATGAGCACCAACTTGCAGGGAACCCGGGGACACGAGTGCTCTTGGAACTGCTGCAGAGGGAGGAGAGAGCAAGTAACGAAGTTGCCGGAAAGTTTTATTTAGTGCCTTACATATCTGAATAAGTGCTGAACAAGCGAACGTCCCTCAGGTTTTAAAGAGCTGATCGTAGGGAAGGAGAAAGTAACAGGGAGAGTGACGCTGGTTTGCCGCACTCACCTGCACGTGGGGCCCGTCCCACCAAACTCAGGAAGGCCCACCAGCCTCTGCACCCGGGCCCTAAAAGCAGCAGCTGGAGCTAATTCTGCGCGTGGGCTCATGGTTCGAGGGGGTGGTTCCGGTGAGTCCCGAGGTCGTAGACGTGACGACACAGTGGCAGAGACACGTGACTTCTCACACGGCTTAGACATCCAGAGACCCACTCGTGCCCAGAAACCGAACACTGGCCGTGAATATTCAGATATTATGAAACCGTACAACAAATACACATCCGCTAACTTCCAGAAGGAACAAAAACAACAGTATTAACAAAGACTGGTCTTCTGCATCATTCTCAAAAACTCTTCCTCATTTATTTCTCCATCCCCATCACGATCAGTTTCATCAAGCATTTCCTGTAAAACAAAATGTAAATATGATGTAAAATCGATTAAAAATGAATAAGGATATAAATGAATATTCAAGTATATACTTCATAAAACATTTTATTTTAAATGTACTTATTTTTAAGTACAATTAAGTGAGGCTATAACTATAAAATATATAAATGATTGTATATAACTATACATGTATAGTTATACAAATAAGTGAATTTCACCTGAAGTTCGTCATCTGTTAAGTTTTCCCCGAGCTCCTGAGTGACCCTCTTGATGTTGTTTAATGTTATGCCCCCAGTGTCATCGTCATCGAATAATTTGAAAGACTTCAGCAGTTCTTCCTTCTCATCTTTTTCACTCTTTGAAAACAGAAACGAGGGAAAGTTACTGACCTTCATTTATGCTGTGAAACTTACGGGCCTGTGAGGGGTGGGGCAGCGCTACCCTGGGCGGCCGAGCTCTGACTCGCTCACTGCTCCGAGTTTCAAGCCGCGCCAGTGCGCTCACACGCGGCTCGGCACACTCACACCGGCGCACTCGCACCCGGGGCCTGCTGAGGCGGGAGAGGCGCAGGTGGTGAGGAGGGTGTGTTTCTTATTGACCCCAGCGGGTGAGCACCACTGCAAAAACGTGAGCTCCGCGAGAACACGGACGTTGTCTCACTCAGTTTCCCAGAAGAGTGCCTGGCAAAAACAGGCACTCAGTGAGTGGGTGTGGGATTCCAGGCTTCAAATCGCCGGCCCCACCCTCCCACTCCACCCACACAGTCCGTTTCCTAACACAAAACCTCTTCTGCACACCAGACGCCCTTCAGTGCTACCCCGAAGACATCTTTAATGTTGCAGCTCCTGTCTGAGCCCAGCCGTGTTCAAATTCTTCTGTGAAACCTTTGACTGCTCTGACCAAAAAAATGTCCAAGGCTATTACTCGTATTTCTTTGAAACACGCAATCCCTACTGTACCATTTTCACACTCATTATGGCAAAAAAATCTTCAAAATTAATGGTGCCAGTTCTTTCTTTGTCCATTTCAGCTATTAGTTTTCTAATTTCTTCTTTCTTTGGTTGAAATCCCAAGGCCTGCATTGCAATCTGAAATAGGAAGCAAATAAAGTATGAGATGCCACAATCTCATTCCTAGCTTTTTTAAAATTTTATTTATTTATTTTATTTTTAGGGAGGGAAGGGGGGGAGAGAGAGAGAGAGAGGGAGGGAGAGAAACATCAATGTGCAGTTGCTGAGGGTTATGGCCTGCAACCCAGGCATGTGCCCTGGCTGGGAATTGAACCTGGGACACTTTGGTTCCCAGCCTGCACTCAATCCACTGAGCTATACCAGCCAGGGCTATCATTCCTAGCTTTTAAATTACCCATGAGTTACTAATCTCTCTCTCTACCCCCCGGGTCTGCCTTTTTACCGTGGACAAGTTATAAACCCAGAAAGTCGGGTCAGCAGACCTTCTGACCCTGCTGTGCCGTGGGATGCATCACTGTCACCCCTGAGCTTTAGACAGTTAGTTCATTTCTACAACGAGAATAAAACACTCAACAAGGTGTCGTTTGGTGAGTGTGAGGCCGCTGTCTGCACAGAGGGGCCTGATACCCAGCTCCCAGAGGGCTACCAGTAAAGACTCCAGAGACTGCCACAGATAAATGCTATGGTTTTGAAGACGTCTCAGAATTAGAAGTAATTTCTGCACCTTCAGCTCTTTTACATCTATGGTTCCAGACCCGTCGACATCGAATAGATCAAAGGCCTCTTTAATGTCTTGTTTCTGAGTTTCAGTCAGTTCAATCTTTGCCGCTCTTTTCTTCCGTGGGTCTGACCTTGCGCAGTTGTTGAATGCCTGTAGTAAATACACGTGTGGGTGAAAGGCAAGCTATGTAACCAGGAGAGTTACCAGAACCAGAATAATTGAAGAAACGGATGTGAACTGACTGTATGTAGGAATCATTGTCCAACACCCTCTTCTACTATCTGGGGAACCTCAACAGTATGCCCCCTTTCCCTGCTAACACTTTGGCTTTGGTTAATATCTTGACGGGAAGCCTGTTTTTGTAGTGGTGGTTGTGTGTGTGTGTATGTGTGTGTGCGCTTTTTGCCAGTTAGGTGTCTCCTTCTAATCAGCGTCGTCAGAGGGGAAGAGGCAAAGGCAGGCAGGCACGCTAGAAGGGGTGTGGGAGTGCAGTCCGCCGTACTGGACGAATCCGAAAAGCAGTATCAAGGACACCTTCACTTCCATTTTGCCTAAATGTCTCATCATAAAACTTCTTTTGTGGGATATGCTTGATGGGAACATGATACCCTTTCCCACCTTCTTGCCCTACGTTCCTATGTCATAGGTGAAAAACTCTTCCCAGGGGCCTAAGTGAGAATACTGGTGGGGCCAATTCTCGTGTCCAGGGAAGGTGGGGTCATCCTCCTGCTCTTCGCCATTTTCCACTGGCAGGCGAGGCCCGAGTGGCTCCGGGGCCTCTTCTGCAGCCTCATTTGGGCACGGCGTCGTCCCCAGCCTCGGGGTGAGAAGCAGCGGTGGCAGACGCTGCAGCCGGACTCCGCCTCCCGCCCCCCAGGTAGCCAGCGTCACGCGCGCTAACGAGCGTGGCCGCGGCCGGGGGCAGCGTCTCGGTCCCCGGGCGGCCGGTACACCGTGGAGCAACCTTCAGGATCTCTAGCTTCCCGGCAGTGCAGGGCTCGTCGGCTCCTCCTAGGCGCTCAGGCCCTCCAGCGGTGTCAGCGTCTTGTTCTTTGTGTTGAACCCCTTTCCAGCCAAAGCGTGGTTTCCGTTTCCAACAGGGAACCTATCTCAGGCTGGAGGTGCCAGCGGTGGACCGGGCTGAGGACGGAAATGAGCTGGAGAACCGCTCTTCTGTCCCTAGCGTGGCGCACCGTGCGCTTATTCGGCAACAAGAGCAGGGGTGACTAATGACCCTCGAGGACTGTAAAAAGGAGGCGAGTAATACGTGGCACGATCTAAACAAAATTCCTTCCTTGCTCCAGGGAGGAACCTAAGCCTCAGCCCCAGCCGGAGGTTACAGCCGCGCACTCACCATGTCGCCCAGCGGCGCTCACAGGCGCCCACCGGCCTCCTCGCCCGCCACGCAGCCCAGCACTAAGTAACCTGCTCGGCTCCCAAGCCGTTGCTAAGGCCGCCGTTGCCGACCTCAGGCAGCCCCTCCCACTCAGGCGTGCCACTACTGATTGACAGTCACTTTACCCGGTGGTCAGAAAAGAAGGCCCTAAGGCCGGCCCACTCTTCACTATTGACCAATAGCGTGACTCCTTGCCTTGCCAACGACCATTCAGCGGAACTTTCGGTCTGGTTTCCTAGCAACCAGGTCCAGCCACCGGCCTGCGCGTCCCCTTTCGCACTTGCGCAAATTGTGTGCGGGGACGAGGGGCGATTCCGGTCGCGCGCCTGGGTGTCCCTGTGACCCCAGACCCTGTGTGACGGTGGGAAGCGGGCTGTGGAGCCCGCCGAGGGGCTGGAGAACAGAGCGAGGTTAGTAGCGAGGTGCTTCCAGCGGCCGCTCGGTCTTTGGTGGGGTCGGGGGGAGCCCTTGTTTTTCTGACCATCCGACCCGGGAAAGGGCGAGAATGGAGGGCCCACCGGGCCCGGGGCACATGGTCCACCTTTGGCTCACCGCCGGCGCGTTGGGCAGAGGCGGAGGAGACGCGCCGCCGGACCGTCCTCGGCCTCCGTGGTGCCTGTGGCCGGGTTGTTGACCGCTTGCCTCCTCCCTGGTTCGCGGGGGTTCGCGCGGTGCGGGGCGCGGTGCGGGGCGCGGTGCGGGGCGCGGTGCGGGGCGCGGTGCGGGGCGCGGTGCGGGGCGCGGTGCGGGGCGCGGTGGGCCTCAGGAGCCCTGGAAGCCTCCCTGCCTGGGACGGAGGGTGTGCCCGTGTTGCTGCGTGTGTCTGCGGAGGAGGACTTCGGCCCCACCCACGAGCGCGTCTGCGCACACACACGCGCGCACACACACACGCGCGCGCGCGCTCACCCCCAGCCATCCCATTGGCTGAACCCCAGGATTTGGCCGGCGGTCCAACCACATCCTGCCTAGATCCACAGTCTAGATCCGCAGTCTGGAAGGGGACACGGGTGGCCTGATAATCCGACTGACTGAGCCACGGCCGAGATTCCGATGACCGTATACCTTTTAGTGTATATATACCTTTTGCCAGCATAAAGGCTGGCAGTAAAGCTGCTGCCCGCGGAAAACTCTGCTGGCGCGTGGCAGAACTCCATCAGACTGCGTCGGGTCAATGCCGGGAAAAGTCGCTGGCCTGGCCGTGCTCTTCATCTCCGAGAGGATGCATTTCACCACCCCTTCACCGACTTTGCCTTTGCTCACTCAGCTTCTCAGAAGAGGGGGGATTCTCGTTTGAGTTTTTGTTTTATGTTGATTATAGCAAGTTGCAGTCTCTTCAAAGTAATAATTTAGGAGCTCTTCTAAATTTAGGAATGCTGAGACTTTTTTAAGAAAGTTACTGAAACTTGGGATGAATTCTTCAAATGCTGAAATAGATCTTGTGAATATTTGATACCAGTTTTTGCTTGTAGATTAGTTAAAATAGTTTAATGTCTCCTTTAGGAAACCTTTTTTCACATAAATAAATACCGACTAAGTTTTAGTAGCCTATGATGCTTTCCTTTTGCTCTAAATTCTGTACGACTTTCCCACTCACATCTTGGAGTTTAAACATAGTACAGAGAGGAAACCATAAACAGACTCTGACAGCTGAAGAAACCAGTCACATCCATAGGATATTCCTCCAAAGAAATACACAAGTGGCCAAAAATCACCAGAAAGGATGTTTAAAAGCGTTAGTCATTAGGGAAATGTGAGCCGAAACCACAGTGAAATATCACTTTAAACCCATTAGGATGTCTAATCATAAAATGAAACAAACAAAAGGAGATAAGTTCTGGTAAACACAGGGTTGAGTGGTGTTCCCCCGCCCAAATTTCTGTCCATCCAGAATCTCAGAAAGTGGTTTTCTTTGGAAGCAGGGTCTTTGTAGATATAATTCCTTAAACTGAGGTTGCATCGGATTCGGGTGCCCCAAACCCAGTGACGGTCGTCCTTTCAAGGAGGCCGCAAGGACCAGAGGCAGCGGTCGGAGCTGTGCCGCCCGGAGCCCGATCCCCCGGGAGCGGCCAGGAGCTGGAAGGGGCAGACAGGACCCTTCCCTGGCGCCCTGGGAAGGAGCGAAGGCCTCCATGCAGCTGCCACGGGACACAGCGGGGCAGTGCCTCGGAAAGTTCCCCCTGCACCTACCCTGAGAGCGCTCCTGGGGCGTAGCCAAGGGATTGGGTGGAATCATCTACCCAAACACTGGCGCTCAGACGCTCACGTTGCACCACGGACAGTAACCGGAAGGCCCGCGGAGGGAGGGATGGGTGGGTCGACCGAACGATGCACACACACTGTGGAGTGTCACTGGGCCTCGAAAGGGAGCGGTGTACGGACCCTGATGCGGACCCCAGCCCGCGGGGTCTGTGTGTTGTGGCTGCGGCTGCGGCTGCAACGAACAAGTCCACACGGACTGCAGAAGTCCCGTGGGGAAAAGGACAGCACGGCTGCTCTCTGGGTGAGAGTGCGCCCCAAGCCCTGCGTGGACAGGCTTTTATTACTTTTCTGGGCACATTACATCAAGGATGGTCCTCATTTACTATGCACAGGTTCGTTTTAGGTGGTTACCTTTTACAGATAACAAAAGAAAGGATGTTGCTAATTACTTCAAAGAAGAGGACGTTTGCAAATCAAGGGGAAAAGTGGTTGAACTGGTTACACTCCTTATTTGGGAGGTTTAGCACAGACTTAAGGAAGTTACTTTAAAGATATGCAGTAAACATTTGCTGCCTCAATTCAGGGTGAGGGGGTTTTAGCAAAAAGCAAGACTCGTAGCAGCAGCAGCCTAGGTACAATGCAGGCCTGATTCCCCACGGGAAAACTGATCCGGGGGCTCGGTTCCTGTGTGCTGACTGGCTCCCTGCTGGTTTTCTGAATCAGGGGCTGGGCTGCATTCGCTACTGCCACTCGGACAGGTTCCCTATAGCACCTGTAATGCAGTGAGGATGAACCTCAAAAACAATGCGCTTAGTGGAACTGGCCAGACACCGAGGCTCAATGCTCTGTGGCTCCTTTTGTAGGAAGTGTCCAGAACAGGTGAACCACAGAAACGGAGAGCAGCTTGGGGGGGGGGCTGGGGGTGAGGGACCGGGGGAAGCTGCTCGCTGGCCCCAGAGCCGCCTCCTGGGGCGACGGGGACGCTGGGGAGCCAGGCAAAGGCGGCGGTCGTGCCGCACCGCGGGCGCACCGAGTGCCGCCGAATCTCACACTTACAGTGGTTGAGTTTGTTATGATGTGACTTTCATCTCCACTCTTAGAAAGAATGAACTGTAAAGCTTTCAGAAGCAATAGAAAGGAATGTCTTTTGCACTCAGCGGTAGGCAGTGCGTTTAAAATGAGAACCCAGAAAACGACGACCGTGAAAGAAAAGATAAAAGGACTAGGGGACTAGGCTGCCGGGCGGCACGGAGACCACTTGACCCCACTCAGCGTGGTGTTTTTGTGTTTTTTTCCAGCCGCCCCCAGGTCTGCTTGGAGTAGAGTTGGATTTCTTCAAGGTCACTGGCTCTGCGAGGTGAGTAAGATGACCTACAAGAGGGACGGGGCTTTGAGGGTGGCGGCAGTAACTGATGACTGGGAGCGAAACCGGGTTAGCCAAGAATCAGCAGCGCGGGGTGAGAGGGGGAGGACCGCAGAGGCGGTGGGGGGTGGAGGATGGGCAGGGCGGGCAGCTGCAAGGCCCGGTGGGTTGTTTTCATACTTCTGTGCTGCCTAGGTTTATGCCTGCGTGCATCAGGAGTGGTTTTTGTTCCACAAAAGATGTGGGTTCAAGGACTGTTACATGTTTTCCTGGAGTGGACTGGTTTTTCTCCTCGGTCCCCGACAGTCGTAGGACGCTGCCTGCGAGGAGGGGCTGGGTTCGCACCTCCTGCTGGTTGCGGGTGTGTCTGGAGCCTCAGCGCTTGCTCCTCAGCTTCTGGGGTGAGTCGGGGTGCCGCTGGAAGACAGGGAACCCCGGGGAGTCCTGTGCTCCTCTGTAGTGTGGATTCAGGAGATGGTGATAAAAGTATTACTCGGAGAATTACAATGTGTTCGAGGGAGAAGTTCGGGTTATCTGCCGTTTTAGCTCTAGTGTGTTAGCTGAGAACTCAGACCCACGAGACAGCTTCCCAACTGATACTTTGTTTAAAAAGTTCTTTTTATTGGGCTAAAGTCTTTCTCTTGTAACTTCTTCCTGTTAGTTTTAGATGTGAATTCTGAAAATTATGTGGGAAAAGTCGAATTGCTCTTGAACTTCCTTTGAATATTGCTGTTTTTCCTTCCGATACTCTAATCGGTGACCAAATCCATCCTCTCCCCTCCATCCCCCTGCACCCTTCTCATCCAGTAACTAGGGGTGTTCTTCACGGCCGCAGCCACCTTTTCAGTCCCAACACCGCTGGCCCCCACACTGCTGGCCCTGCCACCGCTGGCCCTGGCCAAGTGCCGATGGGCCACAACGCAGGCGGCGGCAGCAGCACAGCGAGTGCTCGGGACGAGTGCTCGGGACGAGTGCTCGGGACGTGCGTGCCCTGCACCAGGCACTGTCCTAAGCCTGGCACCCGTTCCTCCTCCTGACGATGCCAGGCAGTGCAGGCCGTGAGGCCCGGGCCTCGGTCTCCGGCAGAGTAGTCAGGAGGCTCGTTGGAGGCTGTGCCATAGAGCTGAGCTCAGCCCCGGGCTTCTGGATTCGGGGTGCGGGCTCTCCCGCTGAGTCAGCTGTTTTTTTAACCTCTTCCTTAAAGCCCTCCCGTGAGCCCAGTGCAGCAGGCGGGTCGCCAGGGACCTACTGCCCTGCGGCACAAGCCCTCTCCTCCTCCAGTGCTCTAGCTCCTGCAGTTCCCACGCTCTGTACACCCCCCAAAGTCCGATTGCTTGTTTGATGCCAGCACCCGTGAGTCTTCACACGCATGTGCATCTCCTGCCGCCTCCTTCAGCATGCCGGCTCTTTCAGATGGCTCTCCAAGACTCGTTTCCACCGTCGCTGCCTCCTGGAGACCATGCCTGTGGCTTGCCTGATCACGCGGCCCCCCCGCCCCGTGGAATGAAGGGTTCATCCGCCAGCACGCACCCCTCCACCACTGCACGGCCGCGAGTAAGGGAAGCTGCAGGATCCAGAAACTTCGCAGAGGCAGGGGTGTGCCTCCCTGCTCCTGGTCAGCGTTCCCAACCGTGAACCGCCCTGGGTAACGTCCCAGGTGTCCATTGCATTTGCAGGCGATGGCTCGCCGGGGTGTAAGCAGGAGGCGGCATGTGGGACTCCAGCAGCTGGCCTCCTTTGCACATGCCGGGAGCACCCTCCTGGGCCCCGTGAAGTCACCCAAGTTTGTGGTGGACGGAGAGGGCTCTGAGAGTGTGTTAGTCAGCTCCACGGTCAGGCTTCTGGAAAGGCTGGATCTGACCAGCGCCGTGGGGCAGCTCCTCGGCGAGGCTGTGCGGGCGCAGAATGACGCCTACGGGACCGGGGCCAGCACCCTCCTGTCTCTCGCCGGGGCGTGGAGCACTGCCGCCGCGGAGTGCCTTCACCTGGGGGTGCCCATGCCGGCCATCGTGTCGGGGATGTCAGAGGGCTTGGCCGCCTGCATGGAGGAGGTGGTCGCCCTTCAGGTCCCTCTCCACACTGTCTGTGACCAGACGGACAGCACACAGACGCCTGCCGGACCTGGGCCGGTCGGTGTCGGCGTGGGCCCCTTCCCACAGACCCCCTCAGAGGCCGGTTTAATGCCGAAGGAGCGTGGTCTCCACGATGCTGCCTCTCAGGAGTCCACCACTTCCAGTTTTTCTGGGACACCCGTTAAATCGGCTGCACTTTTCAGACCTCAGGCTGCGGCTGGCACAGATAACGACGCGTCACAAACTGCTCCGACTCCGAGAACCAGCCTGCGCACAGCCCCCGGCTGCAGAAAGCCCGGGCTGACCCACAGCAGGCACTGCTGTCGGGCAGGGGGCGCTCCCGGGACGACGACGAGCAGACCAGGTGGTGGTCTAGAGCAAGGCGCGGTGACTCCCCGCGTCCACACCTGCAAGGACCTGGCCGAGCTGGCGGCGGGTCTGAGCCACGGAGACGCCGGCAGCATGGCGTTGGCGGAAGCGGCCCTGCGGCTGCAGCGCCGGCAGGGGAGCGTGCGCCGGGGCGGCGGGGCGGTGCCGCTCACGTTCGACGTTTCAAGAGTCTTCACCTGCTGTTTACCAGGTTTACCGGAAGCTGCTTCCTGCGTCTGTGCAGGCTTTGTCACGGCTGTGTCGGCAGCTGGGACCCCGGTGCCCGAGGACGTGCAGAACCGGCCCCTGCGGGTGGTTCTCATCGAGGGGGACCTCACGGAGAACTATCGCCACCCGGGGTTTAACAAGCCTGCACGTGCCCAAACGGTGTCAGAGAGCGCGGAGCCGCTCCAGCAGGACAGCGCGGAGGAGCTGTGGGCGGATCGCGTGCTGCAGGTGTTAGCGCGGTTCCGCGTGCGCCTGGTCCTGGCGCGGGGAAGCGTGTCGGAGCGGCTCGTCGGGAGGTGCGCCCGCAGCAAGCGGCTGCTGATTGGGTGGGTGGACGGCAGGGTGCTGCAGGCCTTCGCGGAGGCTTCCGGGGCCGTGCAGGTGGCCTACGTCACGCAGGTGAACGAGGACGCCGTGGGCAGCGGGGTCTGCGTGGCCTTCTGGAGCGGCCCCCCCGGGGGTGCTGGCGACGGGGTGGGCAGAAGGGCGATCGTGCTGAAAGCGGAAGGGGTGAATTTGGTCACCGCGGTGCTCACCAGCCCGGTGGCTGCACGGCTGCAAACCAAGGAAGACGGGTTCTGGGCCTGCGCCCGCCGCCTGCACCACGCTCTGCAGGAGCAAACGGTCTTCCTCGGAGGGGGCGCCCTGGAGTTTCTGTGTCTCGGCCACCTTCAGGTTCTCGCGGAGCAGCCTGTGCCCAAAGGAGACCACGTGCGTCCCGGAGGGCTGCCGACCGCTGCCGCCCCGAGGCCGGCCGCGTGCCCCGCGCCGCTCCGACCGACCGTGCTTCGCGGCCTGGCCAGCGGGTGGCGCCAGTACCTGTCGACTCTCGCGCGGAACGCTGCCGGTCGCTCGGCGGCATTTGAAGCCGAGACCTTCATTCAGCGCCACGTGCAGCGCGCCGCGGACTCCGGCTCCCCGTCGTCTTACGTCCTGGACGAGTACAGCAGACTGAGTGGGGGGATTTTGAACCCCGGCCATTCCAGTCGCCTGGACGGGGGCCCGAGGGTGTACGACACCGTCACGCCGAAGGTGGAGGCGTGGCGCCGCGCCCTGGACCTCGTGCTGCTGGTGCTGCAGACGGACAGCGAGATCGTCACGGGGCGTGGCCGCACGCAGGTCCGGCCGCAGGAGTCCGAGGGCTTTCTGCTTCTGTAGCGCCCCTGGCTGAGCCTTTGGGAAGTGGTCTTCGTGATGTATCCTGCTGGTCACGGGTTTCCTAGGGGCCCAGTCATCGTGCCTGACGTGCCAGCTGTCCCCGAGAAGAAAATAATTGGTGTCTGCCGGTGACTGTACGAGGTCGCGTCACAGGGGAGGACCTGGGCGTGGGCACGTCCCCGCATTTACAGTGCTCCGTCCGAGCGGAGTGTTACTTCGCCGCCAGGTTGTGCGGCGTAGCAGGAGCCTGGGACGCAGACCTGTGGAGATCGGGCAGGTCCTCCTGCTCACCCAGGAGGTGAGCCGTGTGCCCGGGGCCAGCCCGGCAGCCTCGCCCGACGGTGCACTCTCGGGCCTGCCCTGATGCCGTCGCGGCCAAACCTGGTGTCTGGGAGTGCGCCGCTCGAGGGCGCTCGGACTCGGCCCACTGCCCGGGAGTTCCGTCTGTACCAGGTGCACGCCCTCGGTCTCGCACCGCATTAACGAAGGCTGCCGCCCTCCCCGGACAGCACGACGAAGCCAGTGCGCAGCGCCGGCCTCAGCCACGTCCCCCACGGTCGTGAACTTAGCCGGCTGAAAGTTCCAAGGACCCGTAGGCCTCTCTATTATCCAGAATGTAGTCTGAGACCAGGTGTGCACTAGGACCCATGACGGGTGTTGTGACTGACCTGCTGATCTTGGGTGTCATTGCCAAAAAGTTCCAGGACAGCAGCGCCACCAGGGGGTGGAGAGACCTCCCTCCCACGCCCTCTTCCCCACGCTCAGCCCGTGGCCCCGGCAGGCCCCGGCCCGGCCCCTGCTTCGGGACTTGTTGTGAAACCCGATTTGGAGCACCTGTAGGCGGACGTGATCGCATCATACAGGTAGTGCCACCGAGCAGCCGCAGCCTCTGGTGTCGTGCGCGGCGAACCCTGAGGGGACTCCAACGAGTGAGGGGACGTGACTCAGTCATCCTCGTGCTCAGGTGAAGGACCAGGATTTCGGTTTGATGTTTGTCTTTAATGCGATCACGTGACCACCTCCCCCAGATCCTCATCCCGGTTATGAATACCGTCTTTGTTCAGAGTTACAGTGATAATGTTGAGTGTTGAACAGCGTTTAAAAATAAAATACAGTCCTTTACTTGAGTAGATGTGGACACTTTTACTCTCCTGCATGCTGTTAACACTTAGTTTTTGTGAAAATACTGCCCAGGTTATGGGTGCCACTGACATTGCTGTGGATAGCTGGCCACCTCACTTTGTATGGCAGGTTTTATTTTTTGTGAAGTTGGTATTTGCATATGTTATCCAGTAAAATCTCACACTTTGGAACTAGGAGTGCCGATATGATGCAGATTTACCGTGAACCCTGGCTCAGTTCACGCAAGCACCCGATTCCTCTAGTGGTTGTGTCACGAGTGCAGACGCAAAGTCAGCGTCTCGGTCTAGGCAGTAATTCTGTGAGTTCGGTCCGTGCGCGTTAACTCCCCTGACGCAGGTGACCCTCCGCTGTCCTCACGGGTGTCTGTGGGGACACAGCCTCCATTCGGTGGCCACCAGGCTTGTGGCCCTGAGAGACCCTGGGCCACTCTGACCCCAGCCCCCCCCCACCCAACCAACCAGAGCCGGGAACTGCCCCCCAAACCCACACGAGTAATCATTGGCTTTGAAATGGGGCGGGGGGTGTGTGACGCTGAGACTTTAAACAAAGTAACATTATACTTGAGTGACATCCCCGCAAACATTGTGAAATACCTTTCAGTGAGCCATTCTAAAATACCCACTGCCTCTGTCACCTTAAAATGATCTCTCACCCGTGCCCTCAGCAGTATGTCTCCGTGGCCCCTGCAGACAGTGAAGGCGTCCGTCTGGATGAGAGGCTCCGCCCCTCCTGGGCCGACTCCCGGGGCGAGGAAGTCCCCATCCGGGGAGCAGCGGGCCTGGCCCGGAGCGTCTGCGGGGGTCTCCCTCCCCAGCCCCCAGACAGGGCTGGACAAGCCCTCACTTTGCATCTGATTCTGTCACCGACCGACTTTATTTCATGTTCTGGCACCTTCTCCTTCCTGAACGCTTTTAATTCTGTGTCTCCACCCGGCCAGACCCCAGTCTTTTCGCCTTTCTCTCTCTCTCTTTTTTTTTTTAAAGATTTTATTTATGTATTTTTAGAGAGGGAAGGGAGGGAGATAGAGAGAGAGAGAAACATCAATGTGCGGTTGCTGGGGGTCATGGCCTGCAAACCCAGGCATGTGCCCTGACTGGGAATCGAACCTGCGACACTTTGGTTCGCAGCCTGCGCTTAATCCACTGAGCTACGCCAGCCAGGGCCCCGCCTTTTTCTCTTTAACTGTGGATGCCTCTTCCTCTCGCCCTGTTCACACCTCCATCCTGGGGCTTTTGCACACACGCACACAAACGCACACGCATCTCCTATTGCACCCGGCACACTTCTGTGCGTGTGGATGCAGAGGTGTTCTCTGAAGTCCGTGATGGGGACCACACTGACCACGCTGCCCCGTAGCCTGCTTCCGTCAGGCAGTGCGTGACGACGTTGCCCCAGCGTCGTAAATAGGGCTCGGTAGCACGTCTTCAGCGGCGTCAGGTTCGTCCAGCACCAGGACCCGCTGCGGGTCGCTGCACTCGTCTCCCGGCAGACGCCGAGTTCCGTGCCAGGGCGGGCGCTGTCCCCGGCCGGCTGCAGCCAGTGCGCCTGTGGCTGCTGCGTCTTCCTCTTGCTCGTCACTGTGTCCCTTGGGTGAATTTTCCACGGATATTGAGTCCACAGGTGGGTGGACTTTTTAGCTTTCCTTAGATATTTCTGCCAAATCCTTCTTCCAAAGTTTCTGCAAATGCAAGTGTCATTTCCACGGCCATTGTCCACACCGGACATTAGGAAGCTTGTTTGAAATTTGGGCAAAAATGCAATCTCCTCTTCGTAAACCTTCCTTTATTAGTGAGGAAGGAAGGGCAGTAATATTGCTTTATGTTTTTTAACATTTGAATGTCTGTGTCTCCGTCCTTTGGTGTTACATTTAGAAAGGGTTTCCTGACCCAGGATTACACTGCAGTCACTGGCACAGACGTCTCGTCATTTTATGGTCTTATCATCCTTCCCATTTAAAACTTGGTCCGTCTGGAATGTGTTTGGGCGGACAGCACAAACTTGAAAAGAGCTTCTTCCGAAAGGTCGCCCGCTCATCCCAGCGTCAGCTCCAACGAGGGCTGTCGTTGCCCTCTGGGCTGTTTCTCGGCGGCGGAGAGGAAATGCCTGCAGGAAGGATGTTCCCGGTCGCTGAGACACTTGCGTGCCTCTCTAACGAGGGCCTCATACCGTTCGGCGTTGTCATTCCTGCCTGCTGCTGCGTACCGGGCTCTGCTGGAGAAGGAATGCAGCAGAAACTTGTGGCTCTGACAGTGAGGGTGGTGAAGGCTGTGTCCCTTCGTAAAGTTGCCCCAGACAAGACTGAGAGCCCCTCTCCCACAGAAGCGCTTCAGAACCCACGGTGGGGGGGTGGAGGGGGTCGGAACTTGACTCTGGGAAACCTGAAAGATTTCTTCCTTTTGACCTGTAGGTGGCAGACTTCCACTCTTGCGCTCTTAAAAATTCGACCTGCTGGCTGCAAGTCCGGGGGGAGAATTGAGAGGGGAGGTGAGTGTAGTTTGGGGGGCGTGGCGAAAGGGCCAGGAGAGTGAAAGTCCACGCCTCTCACGCTCCTGGGGGTCTGGGAGGGGTCGCCGGAGCCCTGGGCCCGAGCCCCTTCTCTGCCGGGAGCTCGCCGTGACTCGGGGAGGTGACCCCAGGTCTTGGCCCTTCACCCTGAACTCCAAGTGGAAGGAAGCCCCTTCCCACTGTGCCTCCCGGCTCTGAACCTTGTGATTCTTGTACCCAGTTTAAATCCCTGCAGATTATGAGTGATACTAAAACTCGCATGAAAGGGGGCAAAAATATTTAAAAATTGCTTCTTAAAAGAGTATAGAGATAAGCCCAGACTAAAACCCATGACAAAAACTTTAATATGCGATGTCCATAAAGTTGGGGCTTCAAAACTGGCCACTCGTGGATTCAGACCGCCGCGGTGACTTATCTTGCTGCCAACAGCCCGAAGGGCCCAGCAGAGGACGGCGTGCCTTCTCCAGCGGCGAGGAGAATCCCCTCAGACCTGTGGTCGCCGCGGCCATGCAGTAAGTTACCGTGCGTTCAAAAGTAGAATCTAAGTCGGCAGGAAACGAGGATACGAAATATAAAACCCGAAGGAGCCGGAGCGACAGAGGTGGGAGGCGACCTGGTGGACACACGCCCGTTTGTGCACACCCCGAGACTGCAGACAGGTCACGTGACCGGGAGGGCGTGCTCCACGGGGCCTGCCCTGAGAAGCGTGCCGTCTGCAGCGTGTGAACGTGCACCCCCCACCCCCGGCGGCAGTGGGGCTCTCCCTGAACTCGGGTGAGCCTGCCCCACGCCTCAGACCCAGTGCCCCGGGCGGCACCAGGCCTCCGCAGAATGTCACCCGGCCTCCAAACACGTCCCCGCGCTTCTCTCGGCTGCCCGTCGGAGTGGCCTCTGCCTGCGCCTTCGGCTCCCCGCCCTTTTCTCCCTACCCTGGGTGCCCACAGCCCCCCCACCCCACCCGCTCGCACCCAGCTCTCCGTGGGTTTAGAAAAGAGCTTCGCTCAAGGCCCGGGATGCCGCAGAGAGGGCAGGTGTGCACACGCAGGGCCGACCTCTCACTGTGTCCCTGCTGCCCCGCCCGCCCGTCTCTCGGCTCCCTCTTCCTGCGTCCTCCGTGCGGTCGGTCGCCCCCAGCCCCCAGGAGACTCCCCGCACGGTCCCCCTCGGCGGTGGCGGCGGCAAACCCCCAGCTTCCAAAAGGGGCAGCTCCTCCTGAGAGCCACGTTAGCAAATACAACCTCCTCCGTCTAATCTCGTCCGCAAGGCTGGCGTTTGCACTCCGCCGAGAAAGGAGGCAGGGTCTGCACCCCGCCCCCCCGACGCAGGACACGGCGAAGCGGCCGGAAGGCGGCGCGGCGTGTGAGTCCCGGCACAGACTGCCTGCGAGGTGGAGCTCAGGGTCCTGGGAACATTCCGGAGAGGATGCCGGTCGGTCCAGCTGGGACACGTCCCTGCGCGGAGGTGGTGACAGCGTCATAAGGACGGAAGCAGACCGAGCATCCCACACTGGCAGTGTTTGGGCCAACAGGACAGACCGGGGCCGTGGAATGAGGTCTGCGCTACAGTAAAAAAATGTCAAGTATGCCTGGAACACATCATGGCCAAGGCACATCATCATTCCATTACCCAGGATTAAAATGGAGAGAATCCCAGAAGCAGCAAGAGATAAGGAGACAGTTATCGATAAAGGAGTTCCCATAAGACCATCAGCTGATTTCTCAAAAGAGACCTTGCAGGCAAGAAGGGGCTGGAAAGAAGTATTCCAGGTCATGAAAGGCAAGGACCTACATCCAAGATGACTCTATCCAGCAAAGCTTTCATTTAGAATAGAAAGGCAGATAAAGTGCTTCCCAGACAAGGTCAAGTTAAAGGAGTTCATCTTCACCAGGCCCTTGTTATATGAAATGTTAAAGGACTTATCTAAGAAAAAGAAGATAAAAAATATGAACAGTAAAAGACAGCAAACTCACAGTTATTAACAACCACATCTAAAACAGAAGCAAATTAAGCAAACAACTGGAACAGGAACAGAGCCACAGAAATGGAGATCACATGGAGGGTTAGCAACAGGGGAGTGGGAGGAGGAGAGAAGGGGAAAAGGTACAGATAAAAAGTATTATAGATGGTAGGGAGAAAATAGGGGGAGGGCAAGAGTAGTATGGGAAATGTAGAAGCTAAAGAACTTATGACACAGGGACATGAACTAGAGGGGGGGGTGTGGGTGGGAGAGGGTGTGCAGGGTGGAAGGGAATGAAGGGGGGAAATGGGACAACTAATAGCATAATCAATAAAATATATTTTTAAAAATGTCAAGTATGCATTTTACTTCCACACATGAACAAGTTTGTAAATAGTGACGAATTAAAAAACAGAGCCTGAAACAATATTATGGCTGTGTACAAACAGCAAAGAGTGGAACCCAGAAGAAGGCAAATCACTGTACTTCTTACTATTTTGTAAA